TCAGAACTTTAAATTTTAAATTTGATTTTTATATACTCAATTAATTATAACTTTGATTTTTATTATTTTTATATTATTATTACTTATATGAAAAATATATGAATACAGTTATTACCTACTTAATCCAAAACTTAATTTTCTTTTGTTTTTAAACTGATTTTTCAAGTCGAACAACTGAACATTTGTTAAGTCAGTTCACGTTAATTTGAGTATTGGGTATGTTATTTTTTCACGTCTACCTATATACTTTTGGTGATTTTTAATCGCGTTGAACTGTGTGTTAAATTTTCCCAAGTATAAAACCACAAAATCATGAGTACGAGCTGAGGCGCCCACCAACTTCCTAAAATTATGTAGATACACATAACACATGTTTTGAGAAAACATAAAAGATAACAACGTTTACCTGCACTATCTGACCAGATAGAAACATATTATCAACACGACCGCCAAAACCTTACAACGTGCAGCAAAAAGGTTTTTTAGGTRTTGCCATATTTCAAATTGTTACAGCAATTGCTTGTTAGAGTTTTGGCTTGTACTCCACACAGGTCATGTATTCTTATTTTCCGTGTGATTTTCTATAGAAGGACCGAGGTTACTGATGTGTTCTGCAAAGTTAAATTAAAGGAGTTTTGCTGAATAGAATTTTTTTATAGGTAATTTTTTTACTGTTTCTCAGGTCAATGGGGCATGATTGGAGCGTTGCAACATATTTGCATTCAAACCACGTAGGGGGGGAGGCGGTTAACGTGGTTTGATCAGTCTGACTTGTGATGGGATGTGTGTATTCCCCGTGAACGTCCAACGTATGTTATTGAACGGTTTTGATGTATATAAAATAGTATTAGAATATGATAGTYGGTGTAGGAAAACTTGTGTTTCTATAGATATGACACGTTTGTTCCGTGGGTTTAAACCACATTCGGCGCCTCTGCGAATAATGTGCGCGTTCTATAAGTGACTGATAATATTACCATAATGTAATGTRTAAATATATAACTACACGTTAGTGACACCGGTTTTGGCGATTTCATGTTTACAGCGAAATCCGTGTGCATCGAGTCGGACATCGCTCACGACTACGCGGAGATTTACACGCCTAGCCGCGAAAACCTGCCGTGGGACAAGGCGTGCAACAAGCCACCGACGCCGCCTTTGCACAGGTTCCCGTCCTGGGAATCTCGGATCTACCAAGTGGCCAACGAAGGCCTTTCGGCGGCGCCCGCGGAACCGACCTTGAACGCTGTAGCCGCTGCCTCCTCCACCGGCGCCACCGTTGTACATCCGACCCGAGTGGTGACGTCGCAAGGGTATTGCGATATAAGCGTCCCGGTGTACGCCACTGTGAAAGGCGTGAGTATAAATTCGTATGACAAGTACTTGTGCAGTGTGTCACCGTATACTTCACCTAAAAGATAGAARCAAATAGGAAACAAATCACAGGTCGATGCATGGTAAAATACAACTTGCGAAGACTAAAAATGTTTTGTCGAACATTCAGTTGTTGTCTCTTTATGCCATTATATGTGCCTTTAAATGTTTATAGAGGAGTGATATGAATCTAGCATTAACCTGCTGCGATCAGTGTTCTAGAGTGCCTTTCATTTCTCACTACTCATCATCAATCGCTCAACGGGGTCTACGGGTCAACGTCTGAGAAAGGGATGATTTCTAATGAGATAAAATTTCCCAAAATTGTTCACCCAATAAACAATGTCTAATTTTTATTCACGATATTTCCTACTTTTTTTTTATTTTGGCGGTGGAAGATATGGTAACTCACATGTGCAATTCGTATATTTTTATAAGAATATTTTCGATTTGCAGTCGGCAATCGGTCGTTTGGTTTATTTTATGATTTGTTTCTATGTGTGTGTGTGTGTGTGTGTGTGTGTGCAGAGAGCCAGTCAGATCAGGTCTAGCCCGTTCACCGGTGACTCGTCGGACGACTCGAGTGACGGCGAAGGGGAGCACACCAACACGGTGAACACGCACAGCGTGGCCACCAGGATCACGAACAGCAGTAGCACCGACAACACGGACACCTCGCTGTCCAGTTCCAGTCCCAGCAAGAGTCACAAGACCGCGTCGACATTCTCGCCGGTCAAACACAACTCTTCCGGGTCGCCRTCGAAAAGTACGTGTTCGAATACACGTTTAACGCCAAAACATATCCT